CAGGGGTGAAAAGTTAGGAATGTTTGCATGATGGTGGTGTAAAGACTTGGTAATGCTGTTGTTGTTGATGTTGTTGTTGTTATTGTTGTTGTTACTATTGTTACTGATGTTACTGGGCGTTAGAAATGGCGGAAAAAATTTGTTAGGATGAATGCGAAACAAGTTGTTGTTGATGTTGTTGTTATGTGGATTCTGCTGCTGTTGTTGTTGATGTTGTTGTTGATGTTGTTGTTGTTGATGGTTTTTCAGATGCAGATGTTCATGTTTCATAGTGGTAATATTAAGTAATAGATTGTTGTGTTGTGGTCGTTGTTGATGTTGTTGTTGTTGATGTTGTTGTTCACACTCGATATTTAGTTCTCTTGTTTTTGGAGATATTTGCAAAGAGTTACAAAAACTAATATTGGAATTTTTATCATTGTTGTTGTTGTTGTTGCTAACAATCCTACAGTTCACGTTAATGTCTTTTATGTTGCTGTTTTTAACATTGTTTGCAGTAGAAGCAGCGCTATTGATAGCATCAATACGGACGTCACTGTGCTTAACATCATTGTGACTCAGAATGTTGATGTTGCTATGCTGACTACTGTTCTTAATGCTGCTCCTTTTGTTGGTGTCATTTTCGTTGTTGTTTGAGGTGACATTTGTGTAGTTGGGTGAGTGTTCGAATTTTATTTTTACTTTGAAATTGTCACCATCGTCGTCTGAATCAATATCAGCTTCTGTACTTGCCAACTTTTTGGTCAGTTGAGATCTGAAGGCCACATCGAGCGGATGATCAAATGTGGGCTTGTTAGTTTTCTTGTCCAGTGACTTGTTCTCGTTCTCTTCTAGGTTGTCAGTGTTTATACTGACGTTGTTGTTTTTGATGTTGTTAATGCTATTATTAATTTTGATAGTGTTGACGGTGTTGTTGTTGATGTTGTTGTTGTTGCAGAAAAATTTCAAACTGCTAAAGTGTTCGAGGTATTTTTTCATTTCGGAATCTGGGAAGCTATTCGGCGCAAAAGGAAAATTTTGAATTTTAAATTTGTTGATGTGACGGTGGGTTTTGTTGTTGTTGAAATTGATGTTGTTGTTGTTGCAATCTTGCTGCTAAGATGTTGGATAGTGGAGATAATGAGGTTGGTAAAGGTAAAAAGTTTGCTATTGGTTGAACTATCGACGGTGATGGTAATGATGAATGAGACGCCGCCGGTGGTGATGATGATGATGGTGTTGTTGTTGATGTTGGCGTTGATGATGATGATGATGATAAGGACGAGTTGTGTTTGTTTCTGCAGATTTTGTTCTTATGACTGTTTTTGTAGTTGATATTGTTGTTGTTTTTGTTGTTAATACTGTTGTTTTGGCGGGATGATATCTGAGTTATTGATCGATTTTTTGCGCTCTTGTTGTTGTTGTCATCATCGCCATCATTAAGTTTACTATCATCATATTCTTCACTATCATTGTTGTGGTCATTTCTGTTGTTAAGGTGATTATTTTTGATGTAATTATCATCATCATCTTCGTCGTCTTCATCATCTTCTCTTCTATTGATTATGTTTACAGAATTGTCTAATGCGTTTTTAAAAGTAATGCTACCTTTATTGTTAATGTAGTTATTATTGTTATTTGTTGTTGTAGTGATAGATTTTGTATTTGAATGAGGTACTATTGACGTGGTTATTGATGCAAAAGTGTTGAAATTATTGTTGCTGATGTTGGTTCTGATGTTGTTGTTTGGTTTGTTGCACATTTTTAAATTGTTGTTGATGAAATTGTTTTGGCCGCCCCAGTTGATGTTGTCATTGTTGTTGATGTTGTTGTCGTTGTTGTTGTTTTTTGGGGTTGTGTTGATTGATGACGTTGAAAGTTTTTTCGTTGATTTGTCATCAAGGAGTGAATCTATGGTGAATGTTGAAGGTCTCTTTGTTGAGAACGTAGTCGGTGTTGTTGCTGTCAACATGTTGCCAAATGAAACTGTTGACATGTTTTTATGTTGTTGTTTATGATGATGTTCTTGTTGATGTTGTTGATGCTTACGATGCTGTTGTTGTCGTTGTCAATGAGGCTGTTATTATTGTTGAAATAGATCGATGTTGTTGTTGTTGTTGTTTTCGACGTCGTTGACAACATTAAATTTGGTGATTATCATGACGCTATAAGGATGAGGATGAATTTTTCAATTTTTTAGAATCATTACAAACTGCAATTAAAAAAATAAAACCTGATGTGTATGATAGTTGTGGAAAATAAAAAATTATACTGCTACTACTACTACTACTACTACTTCTACTACTACTACTACTACTACTACTACTACTACTACTACTACTACTACTACTACTACTATTGCTACTACTACTACTACTACCTCTATTCATACTACTACTTTTTTCTTAATACTGTTACTACTACTGCTACTACTATTACTACTACTACTTCTATGATTGCTAGCTACTACTACTACTACTACTACTACTACTACTACTACTACTACTACTAATAAGACTACAACTACAACTACTGGTTATAAAATTTATACTGGATGCTTTCATTGATTTTGAATTTACCATCGCCATCCAGTCTAGAAACCTGGATTGATATCCCGGGCGGTTGACTTTAAAGGAGAAGATGTAACAACAAATAATAGTGATAATAAATAGAAGAAGAAGGAGTAAAACAAGGAAATAAAAGATAAAAATAATAGTAATAATAATAATAACAATAACAACAACAACAATACTAATAATAATTATTATTATTAAGTTATACTTTCATTATTATTATAGTTATTGTTAATACTTTTTTATCAATTGCAGTATTAATTTTTAATAATTCCATTATTTTTGGTCTCACAGACAATTTCGTTATTATTGTTATTGTTGTGATGATGACGACGGTAACGATGATGATGATGCTAATAATGATGACGTCATGAAACGCATAACTACGTCATCATCAGGATAATTTCGGAGGCGGATTTGTAGGCGTGAATGGGATCTTGGGACATAAAAGTCCCAGGTATTTTCAATGTCAAAATGGATTTTTTTAAAAATTTTCCACTTGTTATGCTGCTTATCACACAATTTTTTTTAAATTGTTTTCCGTTAAAACCAGCGTGTGTCACGAGTTATGCCAATAGAAAAGGTAAAACTTAATTCCGTTATAAATTTGACCAGTCGTGATTTCATCTACCTTTTTATTCATCCATTTATTCATTCAAACGTTAATCAGTCTATCCATCTATCTCTCCATTCATCAATTCATCCATCCATCCATTTATTCATCCATCTAACCAGGTTTCACTGACACGTAACATTTGTTTTAAACAGTTACTTAACCTAGAAACAACTAACAACATGCCATGCAACACCGCAACACAAAGACCATCAAATATTGACAACTGTAACAATGTCAACAGAGCTGTTTAAAGTCAGAAAACATCAATTACATTAATACAAACAAGCAGGCGAACAAACAACATTAACAATAACATCAATATTTTGGTAATCTAATAACAACAACAACAACAACGACGACATTATTATTATTCCGACGACATTATGTTTTAGCCATGCTAAAACAACAATTGTATTATCAACAGTGTTTTTTAACATCAACAATGATTACTAATATTTAATCAATAGCATCGCGATTAATAACAAAAAAGGAACACATAACGTCAACAATAACAACAACAATAACAACAACAAATAATAATAATAATAATAACAAAGAGTCGCGTGCTGTTTTCCAAGTTAAACTTAAAATAATAATGTTTTTTGTTATATGTTGTTGTTTGTTGCTGTTGTTGTTTCTGTTGTTGTCTGTTGTTTGTTGTTGTTGTTGTCGTAACATCTCACTCGTTATTAAAGTGAAACTGAATTTAAAAATGCGAGGCCCATATAACAACAGAAAACAATAAATAGACATTAGTATTCAACAGAAATGTAAACTAAAACGCAACATCGTCAGCCAACTGGAACAGAACAAAACATAAAACAACAACAACAACAATAACAACAACAACATAAACAACAACAAACCAAGAATCAAACACCAACACCAACGTTACTAAACCACAATAAAAATGGCAGTAAAATGCACACCAAATATCAGCCCCGTCGCATAATTCTAAATCAATGACATACAAATTAATTGAATGAACCACAACAGCAAGAACACTTTAAAAAGTTCACTGACGAATCTAAAATGAAGCAAACTTTACGCCTGCTATCAACCACCATCATCAGTGTCATTCATCATCGTGGCCTTTGTTGTCCTTGCAATCACCATCATCATCATTATCAGTATCGCTATCATTTTCGCAATCGTTACCATCGTCATAATCATCACAAGAAAAGTATTATTATCAACACCGTCGTTATTGTCACTCTTATCATTTCATCGTCATCGTTCTCATCACTGTCCGATTCATCATACCCGATTCTTCATGCCCACCATCATACCCACATTTCAATTTACACCTCCTCTAAGCCGGTTGTGTATAAACAAACAACCTACATACAACATACTATAGAGTAACGGTAAGGCAACCAGATTTTATCTGAAAGAGAGAATTTAAAAAAAAGTACAGACGTATGCATCTGCGTATGCGTGTGCCTAAGCAAACTACGTACACCTAATACAATTTATTGAGTAATGCGTACTGCACAATGAGTACACGCGTACCAGGTATTTACAAAGCAATTAAGAGCTCTCTTATCAATAGTAATCATTTTATTACAGTTACAAAAAGTTACACTTTACATTATGCTATAAACGTCATCTGGTACCGTTACTATCACGTGTTTTATGAGGATGATGATAATGAAGGGATGATGAAGAAGATGAGGATTATATATAAATAAATAAATAAATAAATATATATATATATATATATATATATATAATAAATCAATAAAAAAACATAGAAATTAAAAACATTTTTTAAAACGAAGATACATTTAGTAGAAAACAGAATGAATGAATAACAACAACAATAGCAACAACAACGGCAACAACAAAATTAACGGATAATGATAAGGATAATAATAATAGCAACAAAAACATTAACAACAACAACAACGTTAGCATTAACAACAACATTAAACAACAACAACCAACAACGACATCAGTAACTTGACAAAATTACAGTAACAATGACAAGATAGCAGTAAAATTTGATAACTATCACTAAATTAATTGTTATTATTATTGTTAATGTTATACCCCATTGTCATCATAATCATCTTCACCATTGTTATCATTATCATCATCACCATCAACGTCATCGTCATCGTCATCACCGTCATCATTATCATCCTCATCATCATTCTTCTCCTCCTCCTCATCATCGTTATCATCATCATTGCATCATCGTCGTCGTCACAATCATCATCTTCGTCATTATCATCATCATCATCGTCATCATCATTACTACTTTTTTCGTTAGTATCAGCGTTATCAGTGTTATGATCTATCTTAATATATTAATTAAGTAATTAATTTATGATATATCACCGGCATGTCATTGGCCATTTCATCACCATCATCATCGTCACCGTCACCATCATCATCAGCATTACCGTCATCATCATCATCATCATCGTCGTCACCATAATTGCCAGCATCATCTAGGTTATCATCATTATTTATCGATGACGTCATTTCATCATCTTCATCATAATCACTCACTTATTCATTTATCATGCAATGTGTAGCAACATTCTCAAAGAACGATCGATCGTTGCATCATAAATAAAAAAAAAACTGAAGCAAACATTTTGTTACACGTGTACACATTACAAAAACATACAAACACATACAAACAAACATACAAATGCATATATACAAACATACAGGCGCATACAAACACGCACAAAAATACACACCTATGTAACGTACACATATAAAAACACACAAACCCATAAAAATACATACAACACATGCAAACACATATAGGCTCACAAAAAACTACTACTTCAACTACAACAACAGTAACAAAAACAATAACAACAACAACAAAACAGCAACAACAATCCCCAAGCAACTACAATGAGCAAACGAGGAGTTATAAACTGCCAACAGTTAACTTTTTTTTTAAAAGCAACAACTGTTGCGTTATGATCATGATCATAACTTTAACAAACAATGTTACACACCACATACACACACCACATACACACACACACACACACATACATACACATACACACACACACGCGCGCACACAAATAAACACACGTTGCGTTTTGTTGTCATTACTATCGTCAATGTTGTTTAGATTTTTAGAAGATGGGTAATGAGAAACAACATTAACAATATTTAAGGTGTGTTTGGGTATTATGGATGCTTGTCTGCGTGGTATGCGTATGCGTGTGTTTGTGTGTGTGTATGTGTGTGTGTGGTGTGTAGTGTGTACGTCTGTGTTGGAAGGCGTCAAGAAGTTTCATAGCTTTAACATTTAAAAATCATCGGAATGTTAAAGTAATGTAAATGCATTATGCGTTTGTTTTTGTTGTTGTTGTTGTTGTTGTTTTCACTATGATTCAATAAACTTTAATGAAATCAACTCTACGACGAATGATGATGAGTGTGATTTTCTGAAGATGATTATATCAAATATGATGATGATGTTAAAAGATACGATGACGACGATGTTGTTGTTTGTTGTTGATGATGATGACGATGATGGTGATGACGATGAGGATGGTGATGATAAGAATGATGTCAATTAGAATTAATGGTGATGGTGATAATGAGATTATCGCAATCTATAGATTGCGATAATCATTTGCGATATTATCGACGATAACAATGATGAAGATGATGGCGAAGATGATGATGATGTCACGGGATGATGACGAAGATGATGATGTCACGGGATGATGACGAAGATGATGATGTCACGGGATGATGACGAAGATGATGATGTCACGGGATGATGACGAAGATGATGATGTCACGGGATGATGACGAAGATGA